CCCAGATCTCTCTGCTCAGCCAAGCAGAAATTATTAAACAGAAATTTAATGAACAAGTTCAGCATAGCACCCAGCCACTATACCTTCTGTTTCATTTCAGAAAGAGGCTATGTGATTTCATTATAGGAGGAAGACAGCTTGATTCGTTTGCAATCTTCCAGTATCTCTCTCTAAGAACAAAAGCAGCTGACTTGGGCTGTCGTTGGCGGGTAAATATTCCTTTCTTGTTCCCCAAAACACGTGTGGTCCCTGCAGAAAAGTTGTAAAAGAAAGCAGGTATATGTGAAGTGCTCTTGTATCCCCTACTGTGAGCTGTTCCCATGTGTGTACTACAGCGGGTTAGGTGGAAGAGACCTATGCACTTTCATCTACAGTCAGGTACAACGGGGAACTTGGCAGATGTCCCTTTGCATCATCTTGGCAAGAGTGACTGATGTCCCTGAGCAATAGAGCTGCCATTTGCTGTGTTTACAACTGGGAAGTTGATGACAGTTAATTGGGGTGTGCCCATTAACTTGACCAGTACTGTATTTGCAGCAGATGTTCCTTCTGCCATTAGTTCCACCTTGAAATCTGGTGAAAAGGCTGATTGCTAACTGTTGGTACTGTCCTTTAGTGGTGCCCATACCCTTTTTGCCTATTTTAGTTTTCATAGGAAACTAGAAAAGATGATCCCAACATGTAGGGACTGGAACTGTACGTGTGTGTGAACTTGTCTACATTTTCTCCATCCTCTCATCTGAAACCGATACTGGTTTTCTGACTACTTCTCTGGGATGATTCGCCTTCCTAATACCTGTATCAGTGCCCTACAGATTATTCTCAGTGGTGTTTCTCTGAGGAAATGAACACGGGCTGTTCACCACCCTAACCCACTGCAGGTGCGTACACATAGCTGATTCCTTACTGGGTCTCCTGAGCTGTAATCGTCTGACTGCTGTGGGGCTGTCTGGACTGGAGATGCAGCACTGCCCCATCTCTGTGAACGCACTTAGCGTTTAATAATAGTGGATGGGGGCATCTGGTCCTCTTGCTAAACCTCTACACCAAGTTAATGACCCCTTATTTAAGGTGCTGTTACTAAGGGCAGTTGTAGCTGAAATAAGCGAGACACATCCCAGCGGCTGACTGAAGCTGAGCTGAGGATGGCCAAGACATGAAGTCATCTGGGTCTGCTCAAAGCTTCCCTTGCACTCTGCCCCAGCACACTGTCTCGTGTTCAGGGTAGCACCTTTGCAGGCGGGACATCTAGGAGCTGAAGCCGGACAGAGGATGCATTAAGTACAGGCAGGACCTTCCCTCGTGGCTCTGCTCACGTTGGACTTTGTCACAGAAATGATCTTGGTAAGCAGAGGGCCCTTTTGTCCTGCCCTACAGCACAGTATTCTCTGTGCATCAGACCGTTTCAGATGTGCAGGGAGGACAGTTCTTCAGAACCTAATGATGAGCTTACCTTGATTAGTCATGAAGTCAGCAAAATTCCATATGAGCTCCCCAATCACATACTCTTTCCTCTTTTTGTCAAAAACGGAATGGTACTCCCTTAGCAAAGCCTTCTGATACTCCTCGCTGAACATCAGAGGTGGATCCTACAGCCAGGAAAGAGAGGGGGCCGTGAATGAAGGTGACAGTTCATCACGGCAAAGGCTCTGAACGTTCATGTCCTATTTGGCCATCCATGGCCACGAAGATGATCAGAGGGCTGGAGCACCTCTCCTATGACGAAAGGCTGCAAGAATTGGGCTTGTTCAGCCTGGAGAAGAGGAGGCTCCGAGGAGACCTCATTGCAGCTTTCCAGTATCTGAAGGGGCTACAAGGGTGCTGGGAGAGGACTTTTTACAAGAGCCTGTAGTGATAGGACAAGGGGTAATGGGTACAAATTGAAATCAGGGAGGGTTAGATTAGATATCAGGAAGAAATTCTTCACAGAGAGGGTGGTGAGGCACTGGAACAGGTTGCCCAGAGATGTTGTGGATGCCCCATCCCTGGATGTCTTCAAGGCCAGGCTGGATGTGGCTTGGAGCAACCTGGTCTCGTGGAAGGTGTCCCTGCCCATGGCAGGGGGGTTTGAACTAGATGATCTTTAAGGTCCCTTCCAACCCAAACCATTCTATGATTCTATGATTCTATTTCCTGGGGATCCGCTTCCTGAAGACAAGCTTCACAATTGCTGGGTCTTTTCACTGCCGCTGCATGAACCACGGCTGTTTAGCGTGGATCAGCAACCACTGAAACTGCAAGGGGAAGCATGTGAAATACAACGTAATGCCAGACAGACCTGGCAGGAGCCCGTGGCTTTATCGCCCCCCTTCTGTGCGGGGTCACATCAGGGCATGAATGTCTGGCCTCTGGTGCCGTTTCTTCCCATTAAGCATTTTCTACAAAGGCCAATGTAGGGATTTCACAGCGCTCAGTGCTTTTACTCAAAGGCAGACTCTGAGCTGTGTTAGTTGGCGCAAAGCTCACTGATTTCAGTGGAGCAGGATTACAGTCCTGGAGTCTTTCAGATGCTTACAAGCTCATGGATCTCCCAACTAAGTGGTCAGGCTCAGTGGTACCCATCTCTTCTAATGGAAATTTTCCTGACCCTGTGAGAAGAGCTGTGCTTTTTCCACTTAGGGTGTCTGTAACACTTACACTGTGAAGTCCAGGAACCGAGTCTGCTCCGTATTCACTCTGGATAATGGGTTTTTGGTAGGTTTTGTACCAGTTCTCAAACTGTGTTGTGAGTTGCAGTGGAATAACTTCCAGGTGGCCTGGGTCATGGTACCAGGAAAAGTAGCTATTTACACAAATTACGTCCACATAAGGAGCCTACAGAAAACAAGAGAGAGTGTTTTGTCACAGAGCTCAAAACAGACAACCTTCTCTCAAAACTAAATCCACCTTTTGGTTCATTTCATGGAATCCAGTTTTATTACATGTAGAATAAAGTCTTTCCCCCCATCGCTCAGGCCCTCCCAACATGCCGTCTTTCCCAGGAAAAAAAAAAAAAAGTAGGATAAATTGAATAAGCTAACAGCATATTAATTTGGCATTTTTTTACAGACTTAGGTAGTCACAGCAGAGTTGTTAGACAAGATCAACCCGTTTCATCCTCAGGTTTGTTACAAGCTTTTGAGTTTCCAAGATGTCTCTGGCTTGCCAGTACACTCAGATGTGTGTTTTGAGCATTGGAATGTGATTATCAGGTTAGTGGTCAAATATTTTGACTAGCAACTAACTTTGTGCATCAGCGGGGCAGCACTAAAACTAAGCATTCCGCAAGTTAGGCGCCACTTCTGCCGCATGGGCAGCATGACAGAAGGGCGCAAAGCCCCGTGAAGATCAAGCGATGGTGTATGTAACTTGTTCGATGGTCTCCTAACATTTTTTTGTAATAAAAGAAAAACGTTCTAGTATCACATCAGTGTACGAGATCCATGCTTTGGTTTTGTGTTCCTGTCTCCTCAAGCCAGTCAGAGCGTGCTTGTGGGGCTGGGATGGCAGAGTCCGTGTGTGCGTGCCTGAGGACACAGCAGTGGCCAAGGGCAGATTCCTGTTGGGCACCTTCCCAAGTAAGGCCACCAGTTTTATTTTCCTGGGGTGGGGAGGAACAGACCTCTTGGAGTTACAGAAGGCGGTTCCTGCGAATCGTAGGACAGCTTGAAAGAAAGGCAAAGTGTAACCTGTAGCAAGGACATGTGGTAGCGTGGCATACCTCCAAACCCGCCTGCTAGGAGTTTATGGCCATGACAGGTCTGATAAAATCATCTTGTAAAACTAAAAATCACATTGGAACTGCCACGGGAACAGACCTGTGCATTACAGAACCCTAGTTCATGCTGTGGGCAGCTTAGAGCACAGCAGCCAAGGAAAGTCCCTTCTGGCTATTCATACAGCTCTGGGACTTCCAACACTTCTGGGAGCTTTTGGGCTATTCAGCATTAACAGACATCAGCCAAAGAAGATCCCTGTTTAACGCAGGAATTAGAGCAAAGCTTCCTTCTTCAGACTGCCACAAGGGCTGTTAGCATTTTAAAGAGCTTTAAGCTTTGGTTTAGTTGCAAGTGGAAAGCCTGAGCATTAGTAAACATAATTGGTGGAACAGGACTGCATTCATGGGATCCAGTCCCATCCTGCACATTTCACTCCAGACAAAAACTGCTCTCACACACTTTTTTTTTTTTTTTCCAGCTGGACAGCAAATACAGGATAAGGAGCTTTGCACTACAAACAAAAACGTAAGTTCTCTCTGGCCCTCCTTGTTAAATATCTCCAGGAAAATTGAGGGGGGAGGACTGTAAAACACAGGACAAGAGGAAATTTCTTCTATGAATTTAATAAGAAAAAAAGCTAGAAAATAAAGCGAACTTACACCATGATCAAGAGCGTAATTAGCATCTGTCACAAAGGTTACTGGTCTGGAGGGATCGAGAGCTTTAGTGTGAGCTATCACTGTCCTGTTTGCAAACAGTAAACAAGACTGTAACAACAGCATGGTGAGCACAGCCCCCTTTCCCCAAGCTCTCTGTCCTTTCATGCCCCCTCGGACATCTGGACCTGCTTTTGATTCAGCAGGCAGAGTGGTTTTACTTAAATACTGCAGGACGCTTAGTGATCATCTGCTCCGGAGCACCTGCGATGCTAGCCAGTCTGCAGGAGTATAAATATCGTGGCAGAGACCTTATTTGTCACAAAGCTGGTTGTTGTCCCATCTGAAAAGAGCCCAGAGTGGAAGCATACTAAACATGGGCATTGTCAGTTTGTCTGCTGGTGCCAGCAGCTTAGGAGCTGGAGCAGGGACAGTGAGTTTGAGGACAAGAACGTAAGCAGGGTAGCGGGGAGTGTGACCAGCTCCCGGGGCGTGTTCCTGCAGAGGCGCGAGGCCCTGGCCCCACGCCGCAGCAGGCAGAGCAGCTGCAGGTTGGCTGCCCTGGTGAAACTCTGAATGAGGGAGATGAGACGGGGAAGGGGAGGGTCGAGCTCTGCTGCTCCCCTGGCGTTGCAGAGGGTGGTGAATCATTCTGAAGAATGAAACTTCAGGTGCCTCTCAAGGAGTTTGCAGCTACTAGGGACAGACTGCTACCCCGCTGCAGGGCTGGCTCTGGCAATCCAGAGCTTCAATCTCTTTGTGGAGTGTCACTACCCCCTGCGGAACAAACAGCTAGCACCAAATGAAGAGCCCCATCTTCAGAATAAACCACCATGTGTTTTACAACTTTGACGTAATTCCTGGGCCTTGAGAACTCGGCTCTTGGCTTGGGTTGGTCACAACGGTCTACTTTTGCTTGACCATTAGCTCAGCAAGAGATGCTCAACCAAATGGACTCCCGAGTCCATTTTTCCAGAGCCCCGCTGGTTCAGAAACAGGTTGAGACTGTTGTGCAGTTCTGAGCATCAGTTCCAACACACACAGCTGTTAACTTCTAGTTTGCATCTTGCGGGTACTGCTTCAGAGTTCCCCCAAAAATGCCTTCCCCCTCTTTACTCCTTTGTGCTATCTATCCCAAAGGAAGAAGATGCATCATCTGCCAAGACTCAAGCCACCGCTCTACGTACAACCACACGCACTTACTTAAAGTAGTAAGCTGCTGGCGGCAGCTCCGATGCCGGCTCGTTGGCTACTGACCACATCACGACTGACGGCCTGTTCTTATCCCTGCGGATCAACTCCTCCATCACAACGAGATGATGCTGCAAGGACTTGTTCCCAAAGCTCTCGCTTAAAGACAAAAGTAAGTGACACCTGGTGAGGTGAGGGTGTAAGCCCCGTCCCCTTTGCCTTTCCCTGTGAAAACTCAAGCCTCTGCAGTGTATAGCACAGCTGAGCCTTGACAGCGAATATGGCTTCTGCCCCATTTCCCCAAAGCCTGCTGCACAGTTCAGGGCTGTGGTTTGGGCTCGTTAATTGAGCCAGACCAAATGACGCGATGGCCATGTGGCAAAACGCCCTCCGGTTGCCCAACGTCTCTAGGCAGACGTGGCGCAACGGGCTGATTTCCAAACGGAGCAAAGTACTTCCATTATCAGGACAACGGGCGCCATGGGGAGGGAGAGGGATGCTGCAGCACAGACAGAGGGGTAGTGGTCCTTCGAGCGATTACTTACGGCATCTTAATCCCCACTCCCGGGCACTCGTCGATCACCACGATGCCGTAGGCATCGCACAGGTCCATGATCTCCTCCGCGTAGGGGTAGTGGCTGGTGCGGAAGGAGTTTGCCCCCAGCCAGCGCAGCAGGTTGAAGTCCTTCACAACCAGGGGCCAGTCGAGGCCTTTGCCACGGATCTGGGGGGCAAGAGAGAAATCACACCCATCACACTGCTGGGCCAGGACTTCTCACACGTTAGCTGGGCACCACCACTTTCCTGCTCGCTCCCAGAGCGTTTCCAGCCCCCGGCGCCATTTCCATCTGCAGCACCGCTCGGGGTGGTGCCTGCCTTTCCAGGGCGCTGACACGCACTCAGACCCTGGGTGTATGGGGCAGCGGGGATGCTGGTTTCAGCCAAGCTGCCGGCGCTGCGGCTGC